AGGTTTCCAATTTCACAGGTAGTAATACTTTTTTTTTAATCCCGAGTACGAATTTTCGTTTTTTGACTTTTCTCGCATATAAAATTTTGCTTTAAGCCTCGGAGAACGTTAATGGAAGTCAAGAAACGTTGTGAAGTTCGTTTCTTTGACTGGACGATAAGCAGTAACAAATAACGAAAGCTTGCCTTTTTCAATTTCTCTCCCGCTTCCCGCCCTTTGAAAACAAGGGTTTGGGTGGGGTGCTCAGTCTCGCAGGCTCATATAACTGATTTTTAAGCAGGATTTTTCCCGCATCCTTCGACTTGGAAATTTGGGACATCTCAAGACTTTATACCCATTTTCACTTCTTTTCCCAGCTCTAGGTTCAGAATCACACTTTCTTTTAATTCGGCACCCCTTCAAATTATATCTCCCTCCCCCTTCCAATATAAAGCGCCCCCTTAAGGCTAAAAATATTGCATAATCAAAAATACCCCTTATCCCCAACGCACACGCTTTAATAATTAACAATTCTTAAATTAATTATTAAATTAGTTATTGAGGCATGAGGCTGAGTACCATCGGAGTATCATCTGAAGAATTATGGAGATCGAGGAGGGTGTTGTCCGTCGAGGCCGTAATACCTCTTACTGAAGTGAGCGAGAATGACCCATATTCTAGCCTGCGAACCGCAGACGTATGGTCCATAGTTTCAGCGACGACCCAGGCGACGACCGGAAATACGTCTGCGGTTCGCAGGCTACCGATATTCCGGTTTGAAACACAAACAGTCGCGTAGGAAATATCATCGGGCACAAATACTATAATTTCGTTTCCTTTTCTTTTGGTAGATATAGGCTTTTCTTTCTTCTTTCGTCGAAAGGACCCGGTCGCTGTCGTCAGCCCTTCTTTGTGTCGTCACGCAACGCTCCTCCCACAAATTTGCGTGACGCGACACCTATTATTGATTGCTTGCTGGGCGACCGCTGATCCGGTCGATCAATCTGCCGAGATCGTTCCAGATCTGTCGTGTCATCCTTAGTTGTAGCTGCTGTAGCGTTTCTGAATACCGTTTCCTTAAGTGAGTCCTTTTTAGGGAAGTTGTCCTCTATCCTCCAAGGTACGTTGAAAAGTATATTTAACTTTTGTAAAATTTCAATTTGATATTTTACGTCAAAAACCATTGTTGTTGGGTCTGTTTTGTTTCTCACGTGGGACTAAATTCAACGTTGGGTAGTCGATGAACAGTTACCGCGCCGGTGAATTGAAGCGGGAAGAATCAACTTATCAGGGAATCCCTTCTATAATCCAAAAAACTGGAACATTGAAAGTTTCTAGAGTAGTGAATAACGTTGTTGTCTACTGTTACATAATCGTAACGATCGTACCGGCTTTTCAAATTTTCTCTGTAGTAAACTTAACACATGTTAGCATGCAATAACTGAACCGTTTGTGTTCGATTAGCCTACAATCAGACTGTGAATTTTAAAATGAATCGGGGAGAATTGTCGTATAAGAGAAACCTTCCTATAGTCCGCAAAAAACCTTGGAACATGAATATTTTTGAGAGTAGTGAATATTTCTGTAGTCTACAGTTACGTAACGATTGTACCTTTCTAAAACTCCTCTAACTTTGTACTACATGTACGCGGACAAAGACTGTGAATTTTTCCTTTCCAAAGCCAGTAAGTGTATTTCTTAGTATTTCGGTGACATTTTTTGTATGCCAAACACTGCTAATTGTTTCTGGTTTTTCTTCCTGTTTAATCACCTGTTCTAGCTTATTTTTAAACTAGTTAGTGACAATCGAAACAATGGCCAAACTTTAGGTATTCGACCCCAAAGGCAAAGCAACAGTTTGATTAAAAGTTTCCTTACTGTAGCCAAAGTCTAAAACTTTTTCTAAAAAAATTTAAACGAGGAAAATTATATTGTTAGACCGCCTTCTAAAGAATTAGGAGACGTTTGTATTTCCAATTTTAGCTTAGTCATGCTTCCTGAAAACTCTTCAGTCATGAATTCCGTTGAGTGCATCGCCCAAGCTGATTATAATAAAATATTGATAGAAGTTGGTTGGGTTGTGATTAATATGTTTGTTAGAAATTTTACATTTGTAAACAACAAAACTCATCATCTTGAAAAATATGATTGTTGCTTTTTGTTTTTTCTTTGATACTGATAGTCACCAATATTTCGAAAATCGTCTTGCTTTTCTTTCAATTTTCTTTCTACCACATCCTATTGAACGGGTGAACGATCACAAATGCCACGTTAAAAAAAAACACAAAAAATCCATGATTGGCTGAAATTTCAAGACTTGAAAGATAAACATAAGTTACATATGTAACAACTCTACAGACAACACTGTTGACGTTTATGCTCTCCATTAGCACCAGCTAATTCTTAATAGTGTAAAGTTCCCTGCTGCATTATATATTTATTCAGTTATTGAAATGCAAATGATTAAGGTTTTGGTTTTTATTTTTGTGCTTATGATGACTAAAGAACCTCTAAAGCAATAGACCTTATTTAATTATTGATTGTGTAAAGAATACTCTAAGGGGTATGTCTAAGGACTATATTATTTGCATTTTAAATTTTTTGTGAGCATAATTTATGTCCCCAGCTGGGTTAACAGCTAAATACTCAGAGACCTAAATATAGTCCATCCATTCTTTCATTGATTGATTCATTCAAACTTGTATGATCATATAATGCTCTCTTACACTCTGTATCTGCAAGACAAAGGAGATCAACTGTCCTGATATGATGTCATGAGCCAGGTGTTCCCTGATCATGATCATCTTGTCAAGGAAACACTGGGCACCTTATACTTCCTTAAGTTTCAGAGCTTTAGGCCCCTAGCTACCATCCAACAATACACATATTTCTGTATGATATGAATCATTACAGTGCCAGATCAACTATCTAACAATGTCAAAAATGTTAATGTTTACATTCTTTGACATGTTATTGGCTTTCTAGGTTAATTATGTGACCTACTGTAGTACCTATAGATAAGCAACATCATTCTTTAGTTTTGTTCAGCTGGCTGGGTGCATTTAAATTGTGTTTTATCTTTATGGACAGGCAGAGTTATAGGGTAAAAAATAAACCACCCCTTTTAGGTCTGGCTTTTTAATAATATTATAATTTGATCAAGAAAAGTAGGTTACATAAGAAGGTGTCATTTTTGTTGTTGTTCTCAAACTCTTATCAAATGAGTGACCCAGAAAAAATAGAAGAAATAAATAAGTTTTCAGGAAAAAAAATATAAAAAAGAGACAGTAAGTCTGAAGTCAAACATAAACTAAGTTTAAGGCAATTTTCAACATATTTTCGGTAACTTCTAGTAGTGGTGTAACGATTAATTGAATTCTTGATTAATCGGGATTATGACCGTTCAGTTCGATTCACAATTCTTTGCTTCCACATGTCAATTTTAAAAACAATAGCATTTTGTGCGCCATTTTCTGTTGCCTGGTAAAAATGCTGTCCTTCAACAACCCCTTGAGAATTTCCAAATAAGGCAAACTATGCGCGACACACTCTTTATCAGGTTCTCAAACATGGCGACGACCCAAGCGACGGTGAATCCTCCTGTCCCTTCTACTAATCTCAAATTGAGGGTTTAGGGTTGCATGTTGTTTACATTACATGTTATGTTATAAGAATTAAGAAACATTTACATGATCGAATCGAACCGTAAGGAATACGAATCGTTACACCCCTAACTTCTAGGAGGTTCGAATCCTGTTGGGGACTCAGATTTTTTCTGTCCCACGCTCATGACCTGCTGATTATTTTATTTTCACATTTGTTTCACCAGGCTTAAAAATTTTTTTATTTTTCATTTCTTTCACCACACAGTGCAACAATCGACATTGTTGATTCTAGCAGTATGCAGGGCGCGTGTCAAATATAATCCTAGTATATGGCCTCGCTCTCCATGAGTTCTCCCTAGCTCAAGTGGATAGAGCGGCCAGCCAGTGTTTGGGAGGTCATGGGTTTGAATCCTGTCAGGGACTCAGATTTTTTCTGTCCCACACTCGTGACATGCTGATTATTTCATTTTTGCATTTGTTTCACTGAGCTTAAAATCTACCATCTTTCATTTCTTTCTAGCAAATTTTAAGCATATGTAGCCATATTTAGGGCAGGTAAAGGAGCTTGAACTTTGTTAATATTTTTAATATAAAATGTAGGCATTAGTCTTCATCTTTCAACATGCATTTTAAGGGGTTTTCCAGATTTTAGACATAGCCTAGCCTGAGAAAACAGTGGACATTTGGCGATATTTACCACTGGTTTCCCCGCCAAATGATGTCTGAGAAACGAGCGCAGAAATTCCATACTGATGACGGGTCACTACCCAGACCTGGGTAGTGCCTCTAATTGGTTGAATCAAATTCTTACGGGGCATGACCAATTAGAAGCACTACCCAGATCTGGGTAGTGACGCATCATCAGCATGGAATTTCTGCTCTCGTTTCTCAGACGTCATTTGGTGGGGAAACCAGTGGTAGCGTCACCAAATGTCAGCTGTTTTCTCAGGCTATAGATTTAGCCCACAGGCTGTGCTATGCATTCGTTGTTGCTCTTGTTTCACTGTAAGGCATTTAAAAGTCCTGCGGGGTTTTCTGCCTTATATGGGCTATATAGGTATGTGCAGCTGTGAAGGGTATGGTTTTCAAGCAGTTTAGTCTGGGATAGCGTATAAAAATCAAAGAGTTCGGGACTAAAAAAGGGTATCATTTTCCAGGAAACTGATGAATTGGTTGAAAATTTTAGTCTAGACTTAGGTAAATGGGAGTTAACACTCAAAAATGTGAAATCAGCAAATTTACAATTATCTGCTACTCCAAAAAGGTGTCAACCTCAGTAGTTTCAGTAACTCTAGGATAGAAAGAAATTGTGGGAGTTTAGTATAGGTACTATTAATTTTCTTCTAGGGTCAATTAATGTAACTAATGTAATGTAACTAATGTTTGCTCGTCCTCATTTTCCCCGTAAAATAGACAATGAACACAGCATATGTAAATGGCCTTGGAATTAATGGTCACGCCGCAGACCACTCAGAAAACGGAGTAGCAGTTATGAAGACTAATGGTTGCCACATGACTAATGGCCATCAGACGGCAGGAAAAGATGCAAGTTTGTACTCGACTGGACCTCATGAGGCTATCCCAGAGCGTGTATTGATCACTGGTGGTGCAGGCTACCTTGGTTCAACCCTGGTACCCCTGTTGTTGCAACGTGGTTATGATGTCGTTGTATATGACAAATTCCTGTGGGGAGTGAGTCCTCTATTGGGTTATGCAGGCAATCCACATCTGAAGATTGTGCATGGAGATGTCCTGGACAAGAAGCATCTAGCCAATGAAATGGGTGACTGTGACATTGTTATTCATCTTGCTGCTATCGTTGGTTACCCCGCCTGTGAGAAATTTAAGGAATTAGCTGAGGAGGTCAACTTGCAAGGTACTCAAAATGTTGTTGACAATCTCTTGCCTGGTCAGCGACTGATTTATGCTTCCACTGGCTCATGCTATGGAGCAGTTGAGAATGGTCTTTGCAATGAAGAAACACCAATAAATCCATTGACACTGTATGGCAGAACTAAGGCGGAAGGAGAGAAGATAGTCTTAGAGGCTGGAGGAGTTGCCCTGCGTTTAGCCACTGTCTTTGGAGTTTCTCCCCGTCTGAGGCTTGATCTACTGGTGAATGACCTAACGTACAAAGCCCTTACTGTGAAGCACTTTGATCTTTACCAAGGGGGATTTCGTCGCACTTTCTTACACGTGAAAGATGCTGCTCGTGCTTTCGTCTTTGCTATAGAAAATGTTGAAAAGATGGAAGGCCAAGCATTCAATGTGGGTGATGAAAAAATGAACTTTTCCAAGTCCGATGTTGCTAAGTTCATACAAGAAGCAGTTCCAGAATGCGTGATAAGTGAATCAAACAATGGAGAGGACAAAGATAAACGGGATTATCAAGTTTCTTACAGGAAGATAAAAGATTTGGGTTATTCAGCCACGATCAGTGTGCCAGATGGTATTCAGGAACTTTTGAAGATTCTTCCAATTATAACTCCAGAAGATGCCAAAAAAGCTAGGAATGTTTGAATACCACACAATATTTTATACTTATCTTTGGTTTTAATAAAGCAATCAATAGGTAGATGTGCGATATTTAATTGACAAAGAACTCTATCCTGTTGAAAAAAAAAAACTGCTTGTTAAGAATATACTATTGTCACTGAAAAATTTTTGTGACTTCTAAGATTACTGTACTTATTTAATGATGTTGGATATAATATGTTAACTCTGTTCAATTTTAATGGTCAAGGCCAATCTAAACTTTTTAAAAGAAGAGCTGCAAATGTTTTGAGAGATTTCTGAGCCACTAATGCAGTTCTTTTCATTTTTGGAATTGTCCTTGGTGGGACTATGCTTTAATTACTTTCCGTGAAAATCGGTGCTTAAAATGTTGCCATGTTTCGATTTTGACGCATTATTAATGAAATTTTAAAAGTTTCAGAGAAAATTTTGTTGTGACATTGCCAGTTGGTAACTGATGTCAAGGCAGCCATGTTCATTGTCAAGAAAAAAACATTTCCTGTGCTGGAATTTTCACTCTTTTTGATGCAAATTCTTTGAAAAAATGACTTTTTCAGTCAATTTACATGGCAACCTTGTCACATGGTTGCAAACCAAGGATAGTGTAGTTGTTGATATTTAAAACATTTATTGTGATTTATTTAAAAAATTAGTAGAATTCAGACATTAGTATTTAAGTTGTAAATTAAAGAGATTTCCATAGACTTTGACCTTTTTGTGACAAAATGTTTACATTCTGCTTTTACTAACATAAAAACGTGCTTAAGTAGGTGTCCATCTCAGTGTGAATTGAATGGAAAAATAGAAGATATTTTTTGAGTTGTTAATTCAAATGATGAGTGCAGCCTTTCACTCATTCATATTGATATTATCAGTATAATCAGTATAACCTAAGATCGTTGTGAATAGTTAAGTCGAACATCCTGTAAGTGGACACCTCTGCAACCAAAAAAGTGTCCTTTTGTAGATCGGGGGGAGGTGGGTTAAATAAAGTTCAGTGCTTATATGTGACTGGGACCATGAATAGTGTCTCCTTCCAGTAAGTGTCTGCCTCATCGCCAGCTGCTTCCAATCATCTTATTTAAGAAGTTTTAGTTAGTCTCTGAGGAAACTGAGTAGGGGCAAAAAGAGAGATTCCTGTCATCCCCTTCTGGTCCCCCCCCGCCCCCTCGTGGAAATCCAGGAAGCTAACGGTGGTGTCTGTTTACAGAGGTTCGACTTCAGTACGATGAACTTTTTCTTCGTGTGTTGACACTTTCAGCATTTCAATTTGCATTTTATTGTTTCTGGTCATCTTCCTTTGCATCTTTAAGAAATATAGCAAACGCTAAATGAATTCTGGCCGTTGTACTCAGATGTCGTCACGAAAATGGCTCGTGGCGAGAGTCAATAACAGCTGGGTGCGAGGAAACATTTCTTTGAAAATATTTGTCTTAGAAGGTTAACACGTGAAGACAGCGTTCATTGCCTCAGCAATATTTATCCAGATAATACTAGGAACTGTATAGCTACCCTTAGAAATGTCTAATTATGCAGATATCACTTTATATATCATTTTGGTTTTCTTCGATTTTAACTGTATTATTTTTGATATCTGTGTAATTAAATGGAGTAAATATCAATAAATATATAACCTTGCGCAAAGAATATCCTTCAGTCGCTCGGACATATAATCAGAGAAAAGTAACTATTGCCCTTCCAATAATAGCAAAACTGTGATCTTTTTGTGTTTTGTTGTTGTTTTTTTAACTCGATTGCTATTATGCTAGCAAGAAAATAAAATGTTTAAAATATGTATATGTGTGGTTCTTGCTTTGATTCCTACTTCTAATACGCCTGGGGGGGTACTTCCATATATGAGCTATATAGGTATTTGCCGATGTGAAGGGTATGGTTTTCAAACAGTTTACTCTAGGATAGGGTCTAGAATAGGGTATCATTTTTCAGGAAACTGATCAGTTGGTTGAAGATTTTATCTAGACTAGGGATTGTGGTATAGGGTTTTGTTTTGGCTAGACTACTGTTCCAGTGACCTCAGCAGTTTCTGGAAAACAACTACTCTAGGATAGGGGGGATTTGGGGAGTTTACTCTAGTACAGGGTAACAAAATTAAGCTCAACTAGCTCTGGTATAGGTTAAGGGTTCCAGGGTCCCTAGCAGCACATCCCCACCCAGAAATTCCTAAAGTACCCCCCCCCCCGGGCTAATACGTCAGTTAGTTCCAGCACCGTCCATCCTCCCAAATCCGGGCTAAAACACGGGCATTAAATGGCATTTTTTCCTTGGATGGCAAAATCCCGGAAATTGGGGACTCTTCCGAATGTCCCCGCCCCCGGAATAATACCTTATCAACACTGTAGCCGTCATTGCACAAGACAGAAGTGCCACTTTCAGAATTTAAATGTTAAAATGTGCATTTTATTGTTTCTGGTCGTCTGCCTCTGCATCTTTTAAGAAATATAGCAAACGCTAAATGAATTCTGGTCGTTGTACTCAAATGAAAGAGTTAAAGTTAAAAATAGCATTGCAGAGAACCCTGGAAACTAGGTTAACGACAAAATTGTTTTCGACAGCGAAAGGCGTCCGTTGAGCCCACTTATGAGAGATGAGGCTGAGGAAGGATGGAAGATGAGGACCCATAATGGCGTAATGACGTTGTGTAAAACATCAGGGAGGCAGACAATCGCAACTTTTTTTGCTCCAGGCTAAGGGGCTGCAACGACGTTTTAGAGCGAAGCACGTCAACCGGAAGTGAACTTATTCTCTTTTAATATACCTTGTCGCTTCCAAATTTGTGTTGCTAAGAGTCTTTTCTCTTATAGAGACGATTTGCCCAAAAATTTGTTCAAAAATATCGCTCAAGAGTGCAAAAAGTCCACTTGCGGTTGAAGCGCCTCCCTCAAAATGGTCGCTACTTTTTGGACATCATCAATCAACAATCGTTGTTCCAAAAAAAATGGGAAATACTGTGCAATGCACCATCCACGGAGAACCCGTGGAAGCTGTTGATCACCACAAATTCCTTGGAGTTGAGCTATCCATTGATCTAAATTGCAAAGATTATGGTAAAAGGCCAACAGATCCCTTGGCGTTATAAGAAGAAACTTTAAGTAAGTGTCCAGAAAACGGAAAATAGCAAGCCTATCTTACTTTAGTTAGACCACAACTTGAATACGTGGATGTTGGTGCGCATGGGATCCGCACATTCAAAAACAGATAAAGGACATTGAGAGTGATCATGAGCAGAGACCATCGGCACGTTTATAAAAAATGAATATAGCACAACTCCTGGAACTATTACGAAAATTTTGAATGATTTGAAATGGCCAATACTCGGAAAGTTTCTTAAGGTTTATCATTTGCATGTAGTTCTGATCGCAATCCATTACACTAAAAAAAGGAACAAATATGTAAATCATTATACTTCACAGGTGTTTTCAATACATTAGATTCTCATCATTTTTTCACGAGAACCAAAATAGAATAATGAGTCATCTATATTCACCCATGCGCAAATAACCCCAAAATGATTTTTGAAATTTCCTAACGGCATCGTAGTTTCGAGCAAGTCTCTCCTGAACGATCATGGGTCGCTTGTGTTTAACGATACCTGATGAAAGTTATTGCTGCTGAAACTGTTCGTTCTATTGCAAGGTGCATGGTATAACATTAGAACTGTACCAACAACACAGTGAAGACATTCAACTCACCGCGCGAATCAATATGGAACTGATTTGAAAGTGTAAGTGCTACAGCTATTGCTATATCTCTTTCCTTTCTCTTATCTGAACGAATTGCCAAAGAGCTGCCAAGTGCACACTATTAAGACTGTGAACGCGTCTTTCTCAACTGAAACCTTTCAGAGTGTTTTATTTTAATCGACAGTTGTATGTTTTTCCTTTTTCTTTTCCCTCAGTTTTGAGAAGTAACATTCAGTGTATGGTTGAGTGATGAGGAACGTAACGAAGAAAGTTATCAGCTTATGGTAGAAAAACGGCAAGAGATTTGTGGAGGTAACTATCCAAGTAAAAAGTCACCTTAACCAGGACAATCGTAAACTGACAGACGGAAAAAAATGGTTTTAATATGGTGATAGAAAACTTGTCAGTTTTTTGTAGGATACCTGAGGTCACTATAACTTAGTTATGTTAGACCGGGTAACGAGTTAAAGTATGCTTGATTTTCTCCGGACAATATTTGCTCCTGAGCGATTTTACATTTGGCAATATATTAATTAGTTTTACTAGCATTATCCCTATGAGCAAATAGACTGCTTTATATAAAGTTGTAATTACCTATATATTTACTTCAATGTTTTTTTGAAAGTTAAACACATAAGAGCAAAATGGTACATGAGTGTTAGAGAATAAAGAGTAGAAATTATATTGAAACAAGTTCTCTTCTTAGTCTGCAACCATTCGCTAAAATGAAAATCATTTCGTTTTCGTTGGAGAGTCGTCCAAATTTGTATTTACCTTTGTACTGTTTGGATCAGTATCATCCCTTCCAATCAATTCTTTCCTTTTCAAAGTGCATGTCTCGGACAAATGAAGCATTTAGAGGGCACTCAGGCCCGCGGACAGAATTTTTAAGATATTTGGATTCTCTCACGGGGAATATTCCCTTAAATACACTGTAAGCCACATAGGCATGTGCCACCCCAAAGGATATGGTTTTTGCGCTTTTTCGGTCTAAAAACGCGTATACACTTTGCTCATTTTGGTTTGGAATTGGGTATGGTTTTCGAGGGAAAAAACGCCGTGTAAGCACGTATTTGTCGTTTCAATTCCAAATTAATGAATAAGAAAGAAAAAGAAATATTTGCTAATTCTTTGACATAATTTCTGCCTAGAGGCCAGGACTAAAAAAGGCCTGGAAAATGTCATTCTTTGGTCTGAAATAAGGCCAGGAGTTAAAGAACAGGGCGGCTCGAACCCCCACCAAGAATCCCCAGGAGCACCCCCCCCCCC